GGGGGAGTGATCAGAGAAGGCAAACTATAAGCAGATTAAACTTCAGCTTTAAACATGACTTCTCTGCTTTACAAATTGCTTATTTTAATTTATGAATCAGCTAAAAGCCTTCATTACTATTTCTGAAGGTACATTGACTGTAAATACTCCGCTAAAACCTTGCAACAGAATGAATGAAATCATGATGCTTCTTTATTATTAATTCCTCTAATAATTCTAAATTCTCTTTTTATTTCTTGCAGCTAAGCCATTTGGAAGCGGGCAATATTTGGACATATATGGGATTACAAGAGACCAGGCTGGAGATTACGAGTGTTTGGCCGAGAACGCCGTGCCCTATTCTGACGTGAAGAAAGTGAATGTCATCGTAAACTGTGAGTGCTTGTTTCATTGTTCCTAAAAATAGAAGCTTAATATCTCACAATCTGCTGCAGTCATCAAGATGTTTTAAAATGGAAATCTAGACAAAACCCTCAGGTTGCAAAAATTGTACCAAGGACCACCCTTGATCATAGAGATTAGGGATGCGGGTAATGACCTCGCCTCCTAGGTTCCTGATTGGCCAGGAAGCTGGCTCCATGCTGATTGGCTGGGAAGCCGGCTACCCGGCCAATTAACATCGTGCCGGCCAAACAGCATGGAGCTGGCTTCACAGGCAATCAAGAAACCGGCCGGCGAGTAATGGCATTACCCGCCGCCCAGCTTCCTGATTGCCCAGGAAGCTGACTCTTTCCTAGCGGAAGTACCAGTATCGGTACTCGGTATGGGAAAGTACCGAAAGATAAATATCGGTACTTAATACTGTAAAACCGGTATTAGCGCATCCCTAATAAAGATATCCCATCACTTCTTGTCCATGTGTCACCCTGTCCCAATACACAAATGAAGAGGAAATCCCTTAAGTGGGGCCACGGACAATTATAAATACCTAAAAGAGGATCTACACCTTCCTCCAGTCTTTCCAAAACTTAAACATAGTAACCAATAGGATTTTCCCTTTCAAGGAGAATCTGCTTCCTATGTACAACAAGAAGTTGTTTTTCCCCTTACATCAGATCTGATTGAGGATGAAGCACTCATCTATTTAACAGAAATGGTAATGGTGTGGGCCAAACCACCTAATCAGTTTACATGTCCTGCTTCCAGCTTCCCATAGGGTCACACTTCCAGTATCTTCAGGGCTCCTCCAAGTTACAAGCAGTCAGAGAACTAAACTCTATCAACACAGGTACCGTCACTGTAGAGGAGCTCCTTTCCCCAAAGACAAGCCTTCACAGTCCATATATTCTTCTGGTTCCCCCACAAATTGCACAGCACAGGGACCCAAGGCCTCAAGTCATTCAGGCAGAGCCCATGCGTGTATGAACCAGCACTCACTTTTACCATCAACAAAGTGGTACAACAGGGTTCCAATAATAAAGCATACATTATCTTCTTTATAGGGTAACTCTGATTCTCAATTAGTCTATTTTGTAGAGGAAACTCCTGACCTGGCTCTCCCAAGGAACACCTTCTCCCAACAAACAGGGTTCTCATTGATTACTGTGCAGGCCCTTTTTATAGCCCATTTTAGCAAGGAACACTCCTCCGCTCAATCCACAGACCAAACTTTCTCCACCCACCTTGATTTTCCTAACCTATTTTCAAGTGCCTACAAGTCTATTATACAGCAACCCAAAAGGCGTGACCTCCGTCAAAAGGGTTCTACGCTCCCTTACAAGTTCACTACTGTAGAGCATTTGGAGTAAGTTTGTATCCTTTAAAATATTGTTTCAGCTGTCATAATGGCTTCTGTATGGGTCATGTAGGCCTGGCCCCGGCTAACAGAGCCGCTTTCTGTATCAATAAGCCACTTACTAATTCACATTGTCAACAACCAGCTGTTTATTGTTCCACCAGCTAATGCCAATACAGAAGGATATGGACCAAGGTTCAGTCTGAACTCCTATTCCTCGTTGCTGTTGTTATTTCAGAGCAGTAAGTTGAGGTAGCCCCAACTCATAGTTTAACTCTAAATCAGTAGTAGACATGTAAGCTGCAGAAAAATTCGGTTTGGATATTTCGGAAATCGGGATTCGGATCCAAAATTCAATTTGGTTCGGGTTTTGGATTCGGGCGAAATCTGAATTTCAGTTTCAGATAAGTTTACAAATATTTGTTGCGAATACCACAGAAAACCAATTACAGATATTAATACTAAAGCTGAGGCTCCTAGTCCCGAATGGCATTCAGGAGCTCCCGAATGCAATTCGGAAATTCAGATCCCGAATGCCATTGGGGTCTGGGAGCCAAATACATATATTACTAAAGCTGAGGCTACCAGACCCGAATGGAGCTCCAAAATGCAGTTCAGAAATTCGGATCCCGAATGCCATTCAGGTCTGGGAGCCTCAGCTTTAGTATTATATGTATATAATATATGGCTTCCATGATGTCGTAATGAAAATTAATGTTCAGACCCATTTGGATGCATTAAACCGAAAAACACATCTGATCGGCCAGAAAGTCACATGCTCAATTCAGTTTCTGTTTTTAACGAAATTCGGACGGGATACGAAATTTGGAAACGGAAGTTCAGATTCGGACACTTTGGGATTTGGAAATTCGGATCGGAAAATTTGTCCAACTTTTGATTCGGAATGAAACGAATCGCACATGTCTAATCAGTAGTATCAAAGCAAAGCTGCATGCTCCATAAGGGTTTTTAGTCTTCCCAGGGTTCAACTGTGGGGTGAAGCGTTCTGTGTATGGATATTTAAATTAATGTATTATTTTTTTTCTATTGATTGAACTCGAGGGACTTTTTATAAGCTAACAATGTAACTATGTATCAGCAAAGGCACACATTGACAAACCATTGGATGCTAAATAATAAGTAAACCAGCACTTATGCTTACACCCCCATTGTCATCTGGAGCAGGTCCCCAAAACCCAATATACATTGATAGTATATGCATGCAACAAAGCTAAGATATGCAGAGCCATCCGGATTTACATGACTGTCATCTCTGAGCCGGCATCTCAGTCCAGGAATTAGATGGTGATCCTGGATGATGCCTGAACAAAAATGGCTCCATTCTTCTGGAGTCTGGAGCAGATGAAGGCACTGAGGATGATTTACTTGGCAAAATCCACTGAACGTAGCTTAAGAATTTTGTTGTACTGATAAAAGGTAGAACTTTTTTTTTTTAAAAAGAAGAATTCTTAAAGTTCTTAAAGAAGAACTCCAGGCATGTAAAAAATGACCCTTGCAGTGGGGCTACTCCACACTGTAAGGGTTAAGTGCTTGTTTTGGTCTGGGGTCTAACATAAAGAAGATACACTCAGCTGATCCTCGGTCTCATCCTCTGCTCTGGCTGTCTGAATGTCCAACGACATCCTCACATCTAGTGCAAGTCAATGGACGTGATTACATCATGGATCCTTAGACTGCTAGAGGCTACGGGGAAGAGTCTAGCAGCCAAGTGGGACCAAGAATTGGGTGAGTATTTTTCTTTCTTAGACCCAAAACCAAAAAAGAGCACTTAAATCTTGCAGTACAGAGGGTAGCCCCACTACATGGGCTATTTTCTTTACATAGGTCGATGTTGAGCCTGATGAAGGGACCCTGCAAGGTACCAAAAGCGTTTGTTTTTCAATAAAATGAACAATTGATGACCCTAAAAGGATTTTTGGTGTGCTGGTGACATTCTTCTCTACCAAACATATTTTGTTTACATGCCTGGAGTTGTTCTATAATATTGGGGCATGTTATTGGGGTCTGTTTATGAAGGTTTTCACCAAATATTTACAGAACCTTCACCCAAGATTCACACACGGACATTTTCTAGCATGCCCAAGGGCATTCTAGAAATACACAGGTGACGCACAGGCTGCCGGAGGTGCCAGCGATGGAGCAAAACATTTTTATTGACCCAAGTTCTTTGGAAGTCATCGGCAGCAGAAAAAGTGATGAATAGACCATTTTACAAGATCAACGTGTGCAGTACAGAAGGGACTTATGTCTTAAAAGAAAGTCCTATATATCAGAGGAAGGATCGAGCAGATTAAATATTCAGAGTGTAATCTAATTTTATTTCACCGTCATAAATTGTATTAGCTATTGCATTAGGGTTTATTAGGCGGATGCTGATTTATGAAGGATAATTTGTATACTCTTTACTTTCCTCTTGGTAAGAGCAGTTTGACTATCCACTTAGAATAATTCCCTCATTTCACATGAAGCATCTTCTGTACTTATATGGTGCATTCATTAACTACAGAAGGCTCCTCTCAATTTCTACAAATTATACGCCTTAAAAAAAAAATGTAATTACCAAATGATGCTGCTTGGTACATATAAAGAAAAAAAATAAAAATAATCCTTTATACAGTATGCAGTAAAACCATTTTGTTTGTGAAGCTGTGAAATAAACAAGCATGACATGAGATGTTGCTTTTTTTTTCCACTTCTGTAATTCTGTCTAAAATAAAGTTTAGAGGCGACCGTTATTTTTAGGGCTTTTTAGTTAATTAAGCTTATTTAAGGAAAATGGTGAAAAAGCTTATAAAATTGCTTAAAGGGGCTACGCACCTTTATATCTTTAGGGCAGGGGTAGGCAAACTCTGGCCAGCCAGCTGTTGTGGAACTACAAATCCGTCTATCTCCCACTCTGACTGCCTTTAGGCGATCCCTTAAGACTCATCTCTTCAGGGAAGCCTATCCCCCCTCAACCTAACCACTCAGCCATTACATTCTCATACAATTCATCCCCACACAGCTACCTCCTCATGTATCACTTCCCCCTCCCTTTTAGATTGTAAGCTCTCATGGGCAGGGCCCTCCTTACCATCCTGTCTGGAATTGTATTGTGATTGTAATGTCTTCCTTATATTGTAAAGCGCTGTGCATGCTGTTGGCGCTATATAAATCCTGTATAATAATAATTAGGCATTGCAAGACGCTGACAGCCACGAGCTTGAGTTCCAGAGGCAGAGGCATGGAGCAGGAGTTTGCCTACCCCTGCTTTAAGCTGGCCATACACCAATCTATTTTTTGCGTTCAACCTGAAGACCGAACGGAAAAAAAATTGATGCGATTCCTCCATTAACACAAACAGCATGTCAATCGAGGAATCGCCCCTGTTTGCATTGTATTTTGACAGGTGGCGCCAGCACCTGTCAAAATACCCAATCAGAGTGAGCAGCTCATTGGCTGCCAGCTCTGATCGTATGAATATTTTCCAGCCGACTCCTTCGATCAGCTGATCAAGGAATGCCGGCTGAAAGGGAGCCAACGGCCCCACACACTGTGCGAATTTCGGCCAGTACATTAAAAACCAGCTGAAATTCGACCCTTTAGAGTCTTACATATGGTACATGAGGCTGTCTCTTT